CCCCGGTTGGTGCGTCCTCCCAGGTCGCTGCAGCTTGCTCGTGTCGGTCCCTCACTCACCCCTCCCTTCTCTGGCACCACCGCTTAGGTCACCCTGCTCTCCCGCGTCTGCGTCACATGTCCCAGCACGGTCTTGTCTTAGGTCTCCCCGCGTCGCTCCCTGCCCTTCCTCCCTCGACTGCGCCACCGTGCACGCCTTGCGTCGAGGGTCGGCTCCGCCGTGCTCCTCACTCCTCCTCGCTGCGTCCTGCTACTGCCCCCCTTCAGACCCTGCACTTGGACGTTTGGGGCCCTGCCCCCGTCCCCGGACCGCGCGGTGAGCGCTACTTCCTTGTGCTCGTTGACGACTACACGCGCTACACCACGGTGTTTCCCCTGGAGCGGAAGGCCGACGTGCCCGACGTTCTTCTCCCGTGGGTTGTAGCTGCGCGTCTCCACCGCGGTCTCCCCGTGTTGTGTCTCCACTCCGACCGTGGCGGCGAGTTCGCCTCTGGTCGGCTTGGACAGTTCTGTCGTGCGGAGGGCATCACCCAGTCGTACACGTTGCCGGACTCGCCACAGCAGAATGGGGTTGCTGAGCGCCGCATCGGCTTGGTCATGGAGGTCGCCCGTACCTCCATGATCCATGCCGATGCCCCCCATTTTCTGTGGCCGTTCGCTGTTCGCTACGCGGCTCACCAGCTTAACCTGTGGCCACGCTCCCAGCGGCCGCAGGTTTCGCCGACCCTCCTTTGGACCGGGTCCCCCGGTGACGCGTCTGCGTTCCACGTCTGGGGCTGCCTTGCTCACGTTCGTGCCTCTGGCACGGACAAGCTCACTGCCCGCACTGTCCCCTGTGTCTTCCTCGGTTTCCCCCTGGACTCGTCTGACTGGCTTTTCTACCACCCGCCGTCTCACCGCTTCCTCCACTCTCGTGACGTCACCTTTGACGAGTCCGTCTCCTTCTACCGCCGCTTCCCTCACCGAGGTCTCCCAGTTGCCCCCCCCCTTTTCCTTGCTCCCTCTCCCCCGGTAGCCCCTGCCCCTCTCCCGCCTCGTCCTGCCCCGTCTGGTGTCTCCCACGTCACTCCCCTCCCGTCGGTTGTCCCCGTTGAGGAGTCTGCTGACTCTGGTGGTACCCCCGGTCCGTCCTTGCCACGTCCCCCTTCCCGAGTGCCTCCGCCCCCACTGTCGCAGTCGCCGACCCCGCTGCCGCCGCCGTCGCCGTCGCCGCCGCAGCCGTCGCCGCTGTCGCCGCCACTGCCGCCGCTGCTCTCGGCCCCTGGGGGTGCTGGTGTGGAGGAGGGTGTTCGTCCTGCGGCTTCTGGGGGTGCCGCTGGTGTTGGAGGGGGTTCTCGCTCTTGGGGTGTTGGTTCTGGGGGTGCTGCTGTTGAGTGTTCTGCCGACGGTCGTTCTGCCTCTGCTGGTCCGAGAGTTCCGGCCCAGCCGTCGTCGCCGCCACAGCAGCCGTCGCCGCCGGTTTCCGCTCTCCGCCTGCTCGGCCTTCCCTCCCCGGACCGCGCGCCGGTGTCTCCCCCACCGCCTCCTGACCTCCCTGTCTACGGTCCTGTGTTCCCGCCGCCAGACTCGTCTCCGGCCCGTCTTCCTCCTCGTTCCCCTCCTGTGTCTCCTCCGCTGTCCCCTGACCCTACCCCTCCGTCTCACGTTTGGGCTCGCCGTCCCTCCCGTGCTCGTCCCGTCTCTCCTGTCCTGCCCACCCACCCTATGTTGCTCCGTTCCCACTCGTCTCGTCCTCCCCTCCTCCCGTCCCCTCCTCCCTCGTCCCTTGCTGTTGCACCTCCTCCGTTCTCTGACTACCTCCGTGCTGCTCGTCCCCTTGTCCCTCGGGTCCTTGCCTCTCTTGTTACCGACCCTGCTGTTCCTGTCTCGCGCCTTGACGCGCTTGTCGCTGCTGTCGCTGACTTCGCTTCTACCCGCCGCCTTGACTACGCTACCGCTCTGGTCTCTGACCCTGCCCGTCCTCTGTCCGTCGGGGGTGCTCCTGCCCTTGGCAGTGACGTCCTAGAGGACAGGCAGTACGAGCTGGCTTTCCTTTCCGAGGCTGCTCCCCATCTCTGCTCCATGCTGTTAGTCCCTGAGGGTGACCCAGACGCCTTCGACATCCCGACCCCTCGCACCTACGCTGAGGCCACCTCGGGACCTTGGGCCTCTCAGTGGATAGCTGCCATGGAGCAGGAGATGGCATCTTGGAGATCCACCGGCACTTACGTCGACGCAGTTCCCCCGCCTGGGGTGAACGTAGTCGATGGTCGGTGGCTCTTCAAGGTGAAGCGCCCCCCTGGAGAGCCGCCTGTCTTCAAGGCGCGCTACGTGGCCAGAGGTTTCAGTCAGCGCGAGGGGGTTGACTTCTTCCAGACCTTCGCCCCGACCCCGAAGATGACCACTCTTCGGGCGCTGCTACACGTAGCAGCACAGCGTGACTACGAGCTTCACTCTCTCGACTTCTCTACTGCCTTTCTTCAGGGCAGCCTACACGAGCAGGTCTACCTGCGCCGACCACAGGGCTTCACTGGTACCTTCCCTCCTGGGACCCAGTGGCTTCTCAGGCGCCCGGTCTACGGCCTGCGTCAGGCTCCCCGCGAGTGGCACGACACGCTACGTGCCACGTTAGCAGACCTGCAGTTCTTTCCGTCCTCTGCTGACCCTTCACTGTTTGTGCGTTCCGGCCAGACTCCGTTCTACATCCTTGTCTACGTAGACGACCTGGTCTTCGCTACTCCTGACAGGGACGCACTGGCCTCTGTGAAGGCTGAGCTGCTGAAGAGACACACCTGCACTGACCTTGGAGAGCTGCGTCGCTATCTTGGCCTGCAGATCTCTAGGGACAGAGCAGCACGCACCATCACTCTGACCCAGTCACACTTGGTGCGTCAGGTCCTTCAGAGGTTCGGTCTTCAGTTCTCCTCCGCACAGCCCACACCTCTACCCGTAGACCATGGGCTCTCTGCTCCCGTTCCTGAGGAGCCAGTAGAGCCCAGTGGCCCCTACGCAGAGCTGGTGGGTTGCCTCATGTACCTGATGACTTGCACTCGCCCAGATCTCGCATACCCTCTCAGCATCCTGGCTCGCTTTGTGGCTACAGGCAGACACCGACCTCAGCACTGGTCTGCCGCTAAGAGGGTTTTGCGTTATCTTGCTAGTACATCAGGCATGGGGTTAGTGCTAGGAGGACGCAGGCCAGTGGTCCTTACTGGGCACACAGACGCTTCTTGGGCAGACGACGCTGAGACGCTCAGGTCGTCGCAGGGCTACTGTTTCAGCCTTGGTTCGGGTGCTATCTCTTGGAGATCCACTCGCTCGTCGTCTGTGGCTCAGTCTAGCTGTGAGGCTGAGATCTACGCTGGTGCCATGGCGGCACAGGAGCTCCGCTGGCTGACCTTCTTGCTCACAGACTTAGGTGAGCGGCCTAGCTCTGCCCCGGTCCTGTACGCTGACAACAGGGCCATGATACTCCTGTGTCAGGAGCCTCGGCTTGAGGGCAGAGCGAAGCATATCCAGCTGCGGTACTTCCTCCTGCGCGAGCTACAGCAGCGCCGCCAGGCCCGCGTAGTTCACTTGGCCTCAGGTGCCAACACAGCTGATATCTTTACTAAGGCGCTTGCGCCTAAAGATCATCAGCGGCACTGTGTACAGCTTGGTCTTGTTCCTATAGCTGCTCCCCTGTTAGGATCCTGATTGTGTACTCTCTATTATATATGCTTGTCAGACTGGCCTTGTGGCCTTACCTCCAGTGGCTGGACTAGTAGTGCCACCCTGGCTTGCTTCAGTTTTGGTTGTATTCTTGCTGACTGGTCTCCAGACCCCTGCCTCAGTGGTTGGACTAGTAGTGCCGCCCTGAGCTGTTTGCTTCTTGTTTAGTTTCACCCCTTGTCTAGCCTAGGGGGTGTGTCAACTTATACATATTATCTATGTAGAAGTTATAGGCTAGACTGAGGTATGCTTCTAGTGAGTACAACCAACTAGTATTTGTTCTAGGTTTCCACCTCTAGTAAATCATTCGTTTCTACGTTAACACCGTATTCGTTAAAAGCGAAATCTCTCGCGTCGCTCCCCGGGCTCTCAGGGCATATGACCTGTACACGATAAAGTGGTTGGTGGACGTGTAGCTGAGAGCGCGTGGCAGTGCTGTACTAGGCGTGTGTAGCTCCTACTCGTCGGATTCACCCGAATTTCAACATGAAGGACATAACAGTCGGTGCGATTTCCGCCTCAGGTCTTCGGAAGCAGACAAAAGAAAAACCACTCCGAAGAAAGTCGAGGAAAAACTAAGGCATAGGTAGACAAGGGATGTTGGGGACAATTCACAAGCAAAACAGTCCAGCGCACATAAACAGTCTGAATTCTCAGACAGATGCTTGCATTTCGTCTGAATCATAAGACAGGCAAAAACAATCCGTCTGACGGTCAGACGAAGCTCTAAGAACCCCTCCGATTTTCAGACTGCCCTAAAAACTAGCAGGAGCCCTGCTCGTAACTTTTGGTCCCTTCCTAAACCCTCTCGCCTATTTTGATGGCTGCCTAGCATATTTAGTTTAACAGCTTTCCCCACAAAAAATGCGGGGAGGTTGTGGGAGATGAAAGAGAAGAGCCGGAGGTGGTCATCCGCTCAGCCTTCGATTGAGAACTTGCTCAGCCTTCCGCGAACAGCTCCATCCTTCTCTGGACAGGATTTGAATAAAGCATTCTACACCTTAAATAGGATACAAGGCAGCATATAAGCGTTCTACAACTGAAATAAGTGTTTATTTTGGTTACTGTTCGAAGGTGTTAAAATTATATAGGTTATAATTTAATATAGGCTTGGTAGGTTGTTACTGAACCTTTGTGTAGAGGGTACAAACCCCTCCTTGTACTCCTCTCTTCCTAATCCAACCCCTTCTTTCTCGACATTCGCTTCTACCCGCTCCTAGATCTACTTTCCTCACGCCACGCCATGGCGGCCTTCCCTACCTCCTAGCATCCTTGCTTTCCTAAGTTAACAGAAGGTTCGATGACCATGCTGGTCATGCAATTTAGATATTCCCTAAGAGGGCTTCTTTGTGCAAGCAATTTCGTACTACTGTCTGAATTTATTGTTGCCAACCTTCCCGTATAAAGTCTAACATGGCTGGCTAGGTCTAGAGTGGCTATTTCTATGACCTGGCCAAAGAATGCAATAAAAACAATGCTGTTGCCTTGCTACTGAAAACAATACCAGGGTGCCATGCCAATCTGCAAATCGGAACTGTAAGCTGTTATAACATTGGCATGGAGGTCTATTTATGTCCTCACGTATTCCAGCTTGGGAGCCTGCACAAATTGCAAAATTCCAGCACACACATGGTATGGTACCTAGTTTCAATCCCACAATAAATACCCCCACGCCATGGCAGTGTCACAAAAGCCCAGGCACATTACCCATCTCCCATGCAGAGTCCCACTCCCATGCGTGGCACAGAAACCAAACCCCTTAAGGGTGCATAATCAAGCCACAACCATGCATGCCTTGTATCCAAACAACACGCATGGCAATCCCAGACCCACTTCTGGTATGTAGCCTAGACACTTGTTGTTGAGGAATGAGCATGTGAGTGGTACGGCAGGCAGGAGAAACTTGACCTCGTACCCATCATTATAAGCAGACCACACCAAGCATGGCACTGACACCCATGCATTGCACTCACACCCATGCATGGCACTGACACCCATGCACGGTGCGTAGCACAACGCTTGAATGACTCATGCGCTTGTAGGCATGGAACATAGCACCCATGCACGCATGGGACATCTTGATATGCATGCTGATGGAACGAGCATAACTCAATACCCAGCCACCCACCATGCATACACCACACGCATACCCATACATATGGCATATTTGCGCACAGCCCATACCTTGATGAGCATACTGGTGGGAAGCCAGGCAGGAGGGAGCTTGACCCCATATGCAGGACATAGTCATGCAAACCTAGTCATGTCCCATACCCATGTAAGGGACATGAACCCAAACCCATGCACGGGGCATGACCCATACCCACTCATACCCATGCACAGGACATGATCCATACCCATGCACGGGACATGACCCACACCCATGCACGGGACATGACCGATACCTTGATGAGCATGCTGGTGGGAAGCCAGGCAGGAGGAGTGGGCACACCAGCCCAAGAGATCTGCACGCAAGGGAGAGCAAACAAAATGACTTTTGAGCTGCTTCAAAAGTCACACCAGCACAAGAGATCGGTACGAGAGGGAGCGCAAACCAAGGTTCTGTTCAGCGACATCGGGCTTTGAAACACACACTTAGAACACAGGTTCGATTCGGCGTCCCACTAGCACATCTGCATCAGTTGGTTGGTCCAGGTCATCAGGGCTGCTACAACAAACCAGGAGCACTCGCACGCCAGATATGCACACACGAAAAGATGAGGAATATGCTGATGATGATAGCTCACCAGGGCGTATTGCTTGCCACTGAACTCCTTGAGGTCCAAGATCTGGACGAGGGGGAGGGGGGAGAGAGAACGGGAGGGGACCAAGAGGGGTGGGGGAACGAATACTGTGACGAGGGAGGGGAATATCGATATCTGCCAACGCATATTGCTTGCTACTGAACTCCTGGAGGTCCAAGATCTGGACAATGGGAGAGAGAAGGGGAGAAAGAGGAGAGAAGGGGAGAGAGAAGGGGAAGAAGGGGGAGGGGAACGAATATTGTGGGGGATCTACATATCTACCAGGGCGTACTGCTTGCCACTGAACTCCTTGAGGTCCAAGATCTGGACAAGGGGAGAGAGAAGGGGGGAACGGGGGGGGGGAGGGGAGAGAAGGGGAGAGAAGGGGGAAAGGGGGGGGAAGGGAGACGGGGAGAGAGAAGAGACGGGTGGAGAGAAGGAGAAGGAGAGAAAGAGGGGGGAACGGGGGAGAGAGGGGGAAGGGGAGAGAGAGGGGGGAAGGCGAGAGAGAGTGTAGAAGAGGAGAGAGAGTGGAGAAGCGAAGAGGAGGGAGATGGGGAGAGAGATGGGGGACGGGGAGAGAGAATGGAAAAGAGGAGACAGAGGGAAGGCGGGGTCGGGAAATGGAGAGACAGGGGGATGAAAGAGTGGAGTGACGGGATCATAAAGTGAGCAAGGCTTGGAAGAAAGAAGACAAGGGTTGGGAAAATACGCGTCTCACGTAAATACGCTGGCGTATTTACGCTGACCTAAATACATGAAACGCCAGTGAAATACACCTGCTCGAGCAGGTGAACATTTTGCCCAGGCAGGCAAAAATACCTGTTCTTAGGGTAGTGGGGGGAAGGGGGGGTGTTGACAAAGATTTTTCCCACACACATAATTTTGCCCTGAGACGCGGGAGGATCTGGCAAGGTCGACATTGTGAGGTAAGTTGCTTAGCGCGATTCTAGGCAGAAATTCGACGTGGCGTCTGAATCGGCTAGGATTAGCAAGAAATACGGGAGAGTGGGTTCTCCTGCAGAGAGTCCTGTTTGTTTGAGTCGAGGGAGTTGCGCGCAGAGAAGCGGGGTGGTTGGGTTTGCTAGATTGAGAGGGGTTGGGTGCGGTAGGAAGCTTCGGAGGGGTTGGGGAGATGTTTGGATGGTCAAATGTTGACTTCACGATTTGGCGGGACCACATTTGGATTCGCCATTTCACAGAGTCTTGCGCCGATTTTTTTCCGATTCTCCCGCTCAGGCTGCCCGGAAAAAAAATCGGCAGCGTATTTGCGTTTTTCGATGAATTACTCGTTTGGCGTATTTACGCCAGCGTCCGAACGCCAAACGCCTGGCTGTACCAGCGTATTTTCCCACTTTGGGGTCACACCACAACCACACAGCACAGCAACAATGGCTGATCACGGTGATTGTACATCACCACACTGGTTACCAGCGCACAGCAACAAACCCCTCACCTCGCCCCTCTCCTGGTAAGCGGTGAAACACTGCTGTAGATGTTTAGATCCCCTCCCATCAACACACTGTGAGAAAGGCGGATAGCAACAGCGCCAGCGCCTCACCTCGCCCCTGGCCTAGTAGTTGCAGTCAAAGCCCGTGAGTCCTGATGAACGGCTGATGACTGTATGGCAATTTGACCATAGCAGTATGACAGCGTCAGGGGCATGGCCACACTGGTTACCAGCCCACAATAACACAACACGGTAACCCCTCACCATGTAGTCAAGGCAGGTAAAGTAGGGTGGACGGCATACAGGCACCCTGATAAGACCTTATGGTTACACCAGCACAGTGGTTACCATAGACACCACAACACGGTAACCAGTGCCTCACCTCGCCCCTGGCCTGGTAAATGTAGTCAAGGCCGGTGAAGTAGGGTGGATGGTCCACTGCTTTGAACTGAAAGGGTGCGGGACATGTGGGGGCGGGGGACGGGGAGAGGGGATGGGGAGAGGGGATGGGGAGAGGGGATGGGGAGAGGGGATGGGGAGAGGGGATGGCGGGAGGGGATGGGGGGGAGAAGGGCGTGCAGAAAGGGGCAGTAGGGAAAGAGGGCGGTGAATGGAGGTGGATGGTGGAGGGGTGGGTGGTGAATTGATACCATGTGACAAAGAAGCGCGCAGGGGAGGGAGGCGAGTGGAGATACAGCGGACGGAGGGAGGGGCGGGGGGGAGTGGGTATTTAAGGCGGGGAAAAAGTGGGGAAAGAGGAATGGGCTTTAGGGTTGAGGGAGGGGAAGAGCCAGTGAAGATAGGCAGATAGTCTACTTCTAACCACTGTTGCCATTCCGTGCCGTGCCAGCACCACCACGATTGCCTAGTGCTTCTCCACACGCACAATGCGGGCCTTCCGACCGCCACTGTAGTGCACTCATGACTTACAGTCGACTGAAAAAGCACTGCACTCATTACGCGCGCGGCTTTTCGAGACGACTCAAGGCACGCACAACGCCGCCCTTGCCCACCCCTTGCATCTCGACCTTACTTCAGTGGCCCCGTTATGAACCCTCCCCCCCCCTCTCTCTCCTTACCTCCACGCTGCTAAGGTACTTCTTCTCCACGCACACAACGCCGCTCTTGCCGACAGCCGTAGCCCACTCCAGCTCAGCTTCACTCGTTCCAACCCTTGATCTACTCCACGTCCCTCCCGTCCCACCCCTCCCTCCTTCCCGTCCCACCCCTCCCTCCTTCCCTTCCCACCCCTCCCTCCTTTCCCTCCCACCCCTCCCTCCCGTCCCTCCGCTCCCTCCCTCCCCTCCCTCTCGCCCCCATCCTTACCTCGACGCTGTTAAGGTACTTCTCCTTCTCCACGCGCACAATGTTGCCCTTGCCGACTGCACGCACGAGCAGCACAGCAATATGAAGCATGGCGCAAGGGTTGAAAATAACACGGTGCAAGGTGAAGTTACACGGCGCAAGGTGAAGTTACACGGCGCAAGGTGAAGTTACACGGTGCAAGGTGAAGTTACACCGTGCAGTGTGTGAGGTAACCAGGTGCAAGGTGATTTTACACGGTGCAATTTGTGAAGTAACCCGGTGCAAGGTGAAGTTACACAGTGCAATGTGGGGAACAACGGCACACATGCGGGGACGGGGTTAACCGTTGAGGGGAAAACGCACATTGAAGGTGTGTGAAGCAACACGGTGCGATGCAATGTGAGAAACAGCGAAGCACAGAACGCCAAGACGCGCCGAGTCAATTTCTCCCCTCAACAACCCCATCAGCAGCCAGTACCCCTGAACTTGCTCCCTCTCATTGCCCCCCCCTTTCCCCCCCAACTCCCCCCAACTCCCCCCCTCCCTCCCCCCCCAACTCTCCCCCCCCTCCCCCCACCCACTCACCCCCCCACTCCCTCCCCCACTCCCCCCCTCACTCCCCCCCATCACTCCCCCCCTCACTTCCCCCCTCACTTCCCCCCTCATTCCCCCCCGCATTCCCCCCCTCATTCTCCCCCCACCCATCAATCAACTCACAAGCAGGAGCGGCGGGAGCTTCGGCATCCGCAGCAGCCACGACCACCGCTCGACACGTCACCGCGCGGGACTGTTGGCCGCCGGGTGAGGGGAGGGGAGGGGGAGGGGAGGAGAGGGGAGGGGGAAGGGAGGGGACGGGAGAGGACGGGAGGGGACGGGAGTGGAGGGGACGGGACCGGAGGGGAGGGGAGGGGAGGGGGCGGGAGGGGACGGGAGGGGAGGGGATGGGCGGGAAGGGGGAGGAGCGGCTGGCCGAATTAGAACAGCAACGCAGTATCTGTGCAGCGATAGAGGAAGTGCGACAGCTGGAACGGGCGGAAAGTGAGATGCATCGTATTAGAGGACCGACAGGAAGGAGGAGCTAGGAGCGCAGAGGACGATGAGAACATGCGCGTTTTACAGGAGCAGGGGACAGAGGGAGAGAAGGTGGAAGAGGAGGGGGAGGAGAGGGTTGGGGCTGGGGTGGTGAAGGGAGAGTGAGGGGGGAGGGGGGGGAGGAGGGGGTGGATTTCAGGGGGTGGGGGGTGGGGTAGAGGGGGGGGGGGGGGGGGGGTGGTGTGTGGAGCTAGACAGAGAGCAAAACGCAAGATATTTGAATTTGGAACTAAGTGCAACATCTAGATCCATCAGTGTCATGTCACGCTAGACACTGCAAATTCGATAAAAGACGCACCTTGGCATTGCTGCGGAGGGGGATGACGCTGGTGGGAGACACACGCAGGGAGCAAGCTGGCAAGCATCGACGAATAAGAAGCAAACCGGAAGAATACGAAAGGTCGGCGGGAAAAGCAACAAGGGACGACTGAGGAAAGGAAAAACGCATGGGAGGAAGCAGAGCGGGCCAAAGCGAGTATTGGACAAACGGAACGGGTCGGAATGGGCAAACACGGTATATACATTGTTTTTGCGAAGGTCGGAAGCTGCAGTTAAGCTTGCCTCTGGATGCGTCAAATGGAGGCATAACAATGATTTCGGACCGTCTAGCGGTTCGCAATGGGCTGGCTCAGGAAACGATCTCCTGGAGACCAGAAAACTTCGAGGTTCGGCGCTAACACGTGACATTGGCTCAAACATCTTAAGGTGAAGATTTTTTCGAGCGTTCCGAGCTTCGCTCCAAACGACGTTGACTCCAGCGCTTCGGACGACACTCGCATTTCTCCGAGCTTCTAATGTTTGAATCTAACTACATTCCGAGGTAACCTTCTAGAATAGGTCATTTTCAACACAGCAGCAGCCAGTTTCCAAGAAAGTTCGACAATCTACGTAACTGAAGTTTGTCCCGAAGAGTGACTTTACAAAATTTAAATGAAACGAGATCTTCCTCACAAACCATTTTCACGGCGAATCTTACCGGAGGGTACAGCAACGGAGCTCTGGACGGAAACCCGAGGAGCCCCAACGAGGGACGCTCCAGACGCCAGAGACATTGCTTGCGCCATCAGTTCTATTCAAGTGACGCTGACTTTAAGTATGCCTAAGAGCAATCCAGTAGCGTCGACAGGATTCCCCTCCCTGGCTCCCTCCTGCTTTCCAGGATCAAACGGCGGTGAGAGATTTCCACTAGTTTTTCAGCTTTCACTCTCCCCAGGGATTGGCTTGGCTAGGGTTTGACGAGAGGCCCCAAGGAGGTTCTACAACAAAAAGACTAGGTCTCCAGGGAAATTTACGCTTTCCGTTCCCTTGTAGTGGATGTCGGGTCATGTGTCACAACTGCTCGAGTCAGCAGCATATTGAACTCAAATCGCGTCAGCTTTTTGGGAACCGGACATGACATATGCCGTTTGATACGAACCTCATGTGTCCTTCGTCCCTGTCAATGAGGCTGACATCCTGTGTGACATACGCCCTGAGGGGTTAAGGGGGAGCTGTTTTGTGGATGACGAAAGTGTATTGAGACGCAAGTAGAGACCAAGGGGTTGGAGAGGGAGCCATTGGGAACAAGATGTGTTGACGGACCGGCAAGGGAAACTAACGTGTGGCAGAGATGCTTGGTCGGGACAGACATTTGCCACGTCGGATGATATTTCTTCACTGAAGACTGCTTCAGCGTATGTTAATACATGGCCAACCCCTGGTTTGGTAGGTTCACTCGCATGGAAAAGAAACTCTTTCGTTTGAAAATGCAATTCTTTGTATTAGCGGAGAGAAAGTATGGGCCGTGATAGGTATGCTCTAGCCATAAAGGCTTAAAGATAAATACGAATCTTACCATGTCAATCTGCTTCATCTAGCTCATTAAACTACAAAATTCAAAAACCTTCATGCTTCATTTACCACTCCAACGCACTTCATCTTCTTGTGTTTGACACAACAACGCCACGCAACTGGTAGTAGCTCAGGTAATATGGTTTTATCATCCATCAATGAACGAATTCCATCAGTATCTTGCTTATGCACAATGATGATACCGATCTTATCAACAAGAAACCATACAAGTCCCAATGACACTTGGCCATAGTCCTGTTTAGAAGGAAAATGAAGGTAGTGCCTTGATTTTGCCCAGCATTTTGCTCCATCTCACAGCAGCACGCTGCAGCACATGCGAAGAACGAGACCTGGACAAGCCACCTTGTTCAGAGTTGGGAGGAACGGCAGAATCAACCCCCCATTTCCAAAGACCATCACCTTCAGAGCACACCCTCGTGTACCTGAAACGCCTTGGTGAAGAAGCATCACCAGAACTCTGGATTCTCTTATCATCACCCATGCCAGATGTCACTTCTTGCTCTCTCATGCGGCTCTCCATTGCGAGCGCGATGAGTCTGTGCTCGGATGACGCTTGCAAGGCCTCCACCACATGCAGAGCTGCTGAGCGAATTCGAGAGCGAGCTTGTTCCATCCAGGTTTGGTACACGACTTTATAGTAACCATCCCACACATCATTATCTGCAAAATCTTCCCTGCACATTCGAGCGGGAAAACCTTGTTCTGCCGCTGCACGAAGGTAAGAGTTTTGGATTGTAAAACCCATGGTGCTGCCTTCTAGACGGTGAGACGATTGGGTGAACTTCGATCAATGTTGAATTGAAGGAAAGAGCAGAAGTGACAACCAGATGCACCTCTGAGGTTCACTTGCCTTCTGAGAGCTCAAACCCAAGAGTGCAGCTTCCCCTTGAAGAGAGCATGAGCGTTTTGAAGCTGGAGCAAGCATCAGGGGAACTGGTTACTCTGATCAAGTCGGTGATTCTGAAACGAGAGTCGGGCCTATCAACTTATCAGATATATCACTCATCCACTTCAGAACTGATGTTCGGCGAGCTTGGACGCTGTATAGTAGGCAACAAACCGAATCTGAGGAGAGACATCAGCATTAGTAACTAATGTGACTAGAGCAATGCTTGGCTGCCTCCAACTACCAACCTCCAAGCTTGATCAGAAAAGGCTGGCTGCTGCTGGGCACATAATTCATTCATGATGAGATGCAATGCTCGAAACAACACGAAAACGAGCTCGTGGCTGTAAATGAACCGCGAATGGTGGCGAAACATGAACGATGCTATTCCGACACTGGAAACGTGATGTATTTGCTTAACGGGGCATCGGCGTAGAGTGTATCTGCCTGACCCGCAAGGGCTAGGATCTCGATAGGGCTTCAGAAGTTGGACATGGAAGGCGTTGTGAATCTTCCAGATAGCTGGTAGGCGTAAGCAAAAGGTAACAGGACTGACCTGTGCTTCGACGAGGAACGGCCCGCAAAAGCGAGGTCGCAGTTTGGATGGAAGATGATTAATGTCAAGATTGCGGGTGTCGAGGAGAACCTGGTCTCCCACAGTGATGGTGTGGTCGGTATGGTGGCGATCGGCCTGGCGCTTCTATTGCTGCTGAATGTCGAGGAGGCGCTTGTGGGTCCGATCCCAAAGTTGGTGCATGGTCATGATGAAGTCGTGTGCGGGTTGGACTGTGGCTGATATTGTCGGTTTTTGTGGCGTGAGCGGGTGGCGCCCGTAGCAGAGGAAGAACAGTGTGTGTCCAGTAGCGGCGTGAGTGGCGTTGTTGTAGGCAAACTCCAAGAGGGGCAGATGCAAGTCCCATTTAGAGATTTTGTCTTTGCATGCGGTTTGAAGGAGTTGCTCTACAAGCTGGTTGAGGCGCTCGATCTGTCCATCTGTCTGCGGATGGTATGCGGATGACATGGCGACTTTGGTCCCGAGCAGAAACATCAGTTCCTTCCATAACTTGCTGGTGAACTTGGGGTCTCGGTCGGAGATGAGTGTGGTTGGAATGCGATATTGCGAGATGATGTAGCGAACAAAGAGTTGTGCTGTCTCCTCGGTGCGTGCTGTCGTGTGTGTCGGGATGAAGTGTCCCATTTTGGAAAATTTGTCAATGACGACAAGGATTGCGTCATGACTGCTAGTGGTAGTTGGTAACCCGGCTATGAAATCCAGGCTAACCATTTGCCATGGCTGTTCGGGGACAGGAAGAGGCTGTAGTAGTCCTGTCTTTTTCTGCTAAATACTATTCATCCGCTGGCATGTAGCACACGAGGTGACAAAGTTTTGAACGTCGTCCGCCATGTGGGGCCAGTAGTAATGCTTTGCAATACCGGTGAGCGTCTTGTTGCTACCGAATGTCCCGCGTATTGGACGTCATGGTATTCTTCGAGCAGTAACTGGCGCAAAGGAGGGTAATTGGGTACCCAGATTTTCGTGGATCCCTTCCGGTATGCGATGCCACTGTCCCATTGTAGCATGTGTAGTTTTGCTGCCAAGGGAATTTCGGGGTCGATGGCATACCCCTGTGTGAAGAGTCCCTTGAGTAATGGATTCATCCCTTCAACCTGGATTGCGGCAATGTGTGCAGGCCGACTGAGAGCGTCTGCTTTGTTTTTGTGGCCGGGCTTATACACAATGTCGTAGTGGAAGTGTGTCTCGAGGAAGTCAGTCCACCGGACCTGCTGTCTGGAGAGGGTTGGTTGTGTCTTCAAACATTTCAGGCTGCAGTGGTCGGTGTAGACGGTTGTTTTTCGTCCTTCGAGATAAGATCTCCACATTTTGAAGGCGATGATAATCACAAGGGCCTCCTTGTCATGTATCGGGTGGTTTAGTTATGCCCCATGTAGTTTCTTGCTGAGGTAGCCGATTGGCTGCAGTCCATTCCCTTGGTCTTGTATGAAGACTGCTCCCACCGCTTGGTCGCTAGCATCAGCTTTGATGACGTAGTCGCGTTCGGGGTCTGGCAAGATGAGTACGGGTGCGGACGTGAGTGCTTGTTTCAGCTGCTCCATGGCTTCCTGATGTTGCGGTTCCCACTTATAGGGTGTGTTCATTTTTTAGCAGATTCGTGAGCGGTGTTGCAATTTTCGCGTACTGTGGCACGAACCGGAATTTTCTGCTTCTCTTGGAGTCCCTCCCGAAATTTCTCTAAGACTCTAGCCCCTCGAGAATCATAATCTTTCATTAAAGCATCTTTATAAGATAACTTTAATGAATCCTTATAATTTCTTGGGTCTTCTCAGAGTTTCCCCGTCTTGGCAGAGTCTTTTTTCGCGGAGTTAGATTTTTTCTCGGCGATTTTCTCTGGCGAAGACTGATCGTGGGGTGGAGATTTTTCCCCATCATTTCCTCATGCTCGCGTCGAATCAGCTTCGTTGAAGTTGATTTTTCCTGAATCCCGAGGCTGCTTTCGGATATTTTCCTTTTTTATCAGCTAGATCCGCAATCACCGGCGAATTCCGTTTTTTGTCTTCTTATTGGCCGAAGAATTTCCGCCACTGTTGCGTGCCCGATACTTTGCTCGTGCGGCTTTCATTTTGTTGCAGTCGAAGATTCGATGGCCCGGCACCCCGCAAAAATCACACGTGTAGTAGTTGTTTTTCAGACGTGGCCGCCTGTCGAACCTGTCGATTTCCATCGGGTCGGCGAACGTGGTGTGAGCCGAGTGGTCGCCCTGTCGCGTACTGCCGACGTGCGCCCGTCGTGTTCCAGCGTTGACCATGTCAAACTGCTCCGCTGCCGATACGACGTTACTGTAGCTTGCGTAATTTGTCACTGCTACCTGTCGTTTGACTTCGGTCTTCAGCCCGACGAGATACAATTGTACTTTTTCCCCTTCGGTCAGATCGGGAATGCGGTTATAAAATTCTTCCATCTGCTGCGTGTACTATGCTACACTCCCGAACTGTCGATGTCAATGATTTTTTTCCCGGGCAAGGAAACCCGAATTTATCGGCTCGAAACGTTTCAGCAGGTCGGTGCGGAACTGCTGCCACGTGGCTTTGCCGTGGATGAAAATACTGTTGCCGGTGATCCTCTCGAGTGCCGGCCCTCGTATCAGTGTCGCCGCGAGTCGCACGCGCTGACCGTCCCAGACTTGCGAGCTCCATCCGACGGCTGCGAAGTAGATCTCCATTCCGGCGATCCATCTACGGACGTCGGAGTTTCGATTGCTCGGATCGAACGGCTCAAGCGGGCGCGGCTTCGGAGCCTCGAGAAACTGCTGCGTCTGCTGCGTCGTTGCCGTTGTCGTTTCGTGCTGCGCGCCGGTGAGTCGAGTTACTCGCTCGAACTTGTTTCGCCAAGCTTCGCAGTCGGCTCGCATCTCCTCCTGCTGGGTAGCCCCTGCGTTGTCGAAGTCCGCCATCCTGTTCAAAATACGCGTGGAGGGGTTAATTAAAAAAACACGGAGCTG